CAGTGTCCTCCAGGACAGGATCATCTAGAAGCGACGACGAGTGAATCTCTTCTTCCGATATAAAAATGATCAGATCAGTTAAATTGCATGCCTTCAAGGCAACGCAAATCAAATCTCGTCTTGCTTGAAAGTTTTACCAGGAGACGTGCGCGGAGCGCCCAAGGTCTTCGACCGCGAATCGATTCATGGCTTATGCCATACCAACGAAAATATCATATTTTGCATCCAAGTCGAAAACTAAGCCGTGTTCACACTATCAAAGTCAGGGAAAGTGCCACCGAGGTCCAGAGGGAAGTGTCACAATTCCCTGTCGCTAAGCAAATTGTGACGATGTCACTTTACCGCGCTTTCAGCGCCTCAGTATACAGCTGATTTCCTTTAATCGTGGTGCGTCGATCAAAATTGCCCGACACCGGCATCAAAAGTCCAGTGGCTTCTTATAGATTATCAGCAAAAAGCAGCAGCCAACTTAAATGGGCTCAAGCGCGTCTGTCGAATACTACAAGTGATTATTCAGAGCCAAAAGGCATTAAGTACATTTTCATGCCTGAAATTGAGTGTTCTCGCAACGGCGGAAAGTGTATTCGTGGAAGCCGGATCATATTGTTTGGAACTGCAGGTTCCCTTGCCCAGTCGGCAACAGAGACAGGGTGTAATAGGCCATGTCTGATTACATATTTTGCGCAGACCACGTACTTGTGTCTAGTATAAGCTATACGCCCTGAAATATTTATATATCCCCTTTACTTCTGTTGTATCAGAAATGGAGGTACTTATCAGGTTAGAAGGTTTGAATTTCTTTTGGCTACAATAATGTCACTTTAAATTTCCTCCTCTTTATGTAAGTCAATATTTCGCTGGAAGTGAGCAACATGCGGTGAGGCGTGTCAATTGACTTGAGCGCCGCTCAGTTAGTGTGTGTACGCGGACGGGCAATTCCCGTAACACTTGGTACCACTGTAGTCATCCCATCGCCGATGGATTTATCGACAAATGATTCGGACACCACCGGCGGTGGTTGTCCTCATATCAACCGGAAAGAACATTGGCTCTTAACACACTCGCAATGGGAGCGTGGGGTGAAGCTGCGAGTTTTTACTGGAGATCACGCGATCTGCGATATACTCCGATTAGACCAAGAGGCGGTAGCTCAACATTGAATTAATTTTGCTGTGTATGAGCAAGGATTGTTGGGATATTTATCGCAGACGATACCGACACCAGTTCCGTCACCTCCTTCACAAGTGGTGGTAACACCGTTGGTACACACGGACCTGAAACGGATTTACACGAACCCTGTTATAAAGGAGTGGGTCACACATTTTGTGTGACCATACAAGGGTGTGGGTTAAAAAGACAAAGTAATCATACAATGATGTGGTTATACCTTAACAAGAAGTCAGTACATGGCTGAACTGCCAGTAGTTATCCATTTTAAAAAGTTTTTACTGTTTGATTGGGAAACCCTATAGATTTTGATACAGGTGGCTTTGCCGCACCCCCCCCACAAGAAATACAGTTTACATTTATATGGAGGAGTCTATTTTCCTTAAGTTAAGGACGTGGTCACTCTTGGAGGCTGAAAATTGCATTTCGCTACACTCCTACTGACTCTAGTAATGAACGTAAGGTTGGTAATCTAAGCTTAGCTTCCTTTAAACGGCAGCCCCGCCGCACTTAAGAGCACTCGTAGCCAAATTACGCCTGAGTCGTTACAACTGCTGTCGGCGTCAACTGCGTCCATGACGCTACCGTCGAGGACCGATGATTCCTCCCGACCCAGGTCGCTCATGGCGAGCGTTAAAATATACGAGGAGAAGATCTTCTGCTTGGATAAGAGAGGCCGATATGGCTATGGCATCCGTCGTTCTTCAGAACGAGCAACAGCGCGTGGCGCAAGCTATTTCCAAGCTTGGGGGTTGAGCGCGTGAATGGGCACCACCGTGCGGTGCTTCGACAGAAACTGCGTTTCCCTTTTTGAAGGAGCCGAAATGTCATCTATTGCGAGTGTTTTCGCAACCTAATCAGGCATATCGCGTGCTATCGTGTTTTCTTGGTGCCCGACAGGGCAAAAAGGAATTGATAGACTTTGTCCACGAGTTGCGTGCTCTCATTGCCAGGATGGCAGCCAATTCTCCCCCCGCGGCGGTTGCAGTGGGGGACCCCCGCACTGACGAAGCCAGAATGGAAATCTTTCGTGAGCATCCGTCTTTTTTGATGAAGCAGTGAATGTTGCATTGAATGCCGAATTTAACTTCGAGTAGGCATGACTTGGTTGGAATGCATCCCCCTTGAGCTCGTCGAGCGGACCTGAGTTAATGGATCTCAGCTATGCTGAGAAAAAGGAGGGAGATTTCCGAGCTGCCGAGCAGGGTGTAAACGTCCGACTGTGTTTTGCCTGTGGTGACACCCGTCACCTTCGGACTGGTTGTATCCTACGCAAGGCGCGTAAAGGTTCGTCGAACCGACATCCCGCTTCTAGCCAATCTGGTCTCGCGCGGGAAGTCAAGAAAATACAGTAGGCGCAGGGTGCTCTACTGGGGAAGGGCTGAGTTCTGTTGAGCCTCAAAGAGGCATAGGGAAGCAGCCCCGAAAAGCTCCGTGCTCTTCAACACGGGACGTGAGTATACAGGCCGGGTTTGCTGGTCGTAAAAGGAAATGTGAAGGATTTTGAAAAGTCATGGAAAATCCTTATCGATTCTGGGAGTGTCAAGCAATATTGATCGACGCCCCACGATTGAAGGAAATCAGTTGTATGCTGAGGCTCTGAAAGCGCGTTTGAGTGACACCGTCACAGTTCGTTTAGCGACGTGGAACTGCGACACTTGCCGAGGGTACCTGTGGAACTCGGTGTCAAGTTTTTTGACTCTGATAGCGTGGAACGCTGCCTTAGGCCATGACTTGGATGCAAGGTATGATCTGATCCTTAATATGGCATGGCTGGAACACCATGATCATTGGATTGATTTGAGGTCAAAGACCTTGGGCGCTACGCGCATCTCTCCTGGTGGAGCTTTGTTGAGCCAAGAGCCTACCTCTGCATGGAAGCAGAAGCGCTAGTAGCGCGGGCACTGAATCGGGCAGTCAATGTGCTAGATATCGAAGCATCCGAGTTGTCGAACACCGATTGTGTATTGGACAAGAGTCCCGAGCATGGCTCGCTGGCTGATTGTGGAGTGGGTCTTAACCCACTGAGAACTGCTCAAGTATCAAAGCAGCTGCTGTATGCCAAGAGAGGCATGGTCGACCAAGGGCCGAGGCATCGAAAGCGAGGTACTTGTGATGGCGCATAATCGACTGAGAACTGCTCATGCTTGAAGCAGTTGCTGTATGCTAAGAGTGGCATGATCGGAC